CTGCCCTTTGAAATTGTCTGTTCAGCTCTTTTACTTCATCATTTCTGCCAGTCACTGTTGCTTCGCCACAGTTAAGAGCATGTTTTAGAGTCACTTTTGACTTCCAATTTTGTCTCTTCTTTCTTTCTTCTCTTTTTAATGACTTATTGTTTTCTTTATATATAATATTCTTTTTAGAAATTTTATTTATTTTTGATTCTTGATTTTTTGTAACAGCCTTCCTCATCTACACTGTAACCTGTGGGTAATTTTCCTTCCCTTCCACTCCTGTCCTTTTCTTAACTTTTGACAACAGTGGCCTCATACAATATTTGTCCTTTTGTGATCAACTAATTTCATTCAGCATAATGTTCTCCTGGTTCATCCAGGTCATGAGGTGTTTCACAGATTCATCATTATTAACCTGTTGTCTGATTTTTGAATCATTGGATTCATATTCTCATTAAAAAAACTATTATAGATATAATACAATTAGTGAAAACTTTCCTTATAAAACTTACATGCTAACTTTTCATTAAGAGAGTGAAATAAAAATTTTAGGTAATTGTTTTAAAAATTTAGGTAAAAAATGTCCAAGAATCTAGTGTGTTTTTGTAGGATGAGCACAGGACTGTTACCTACAAGGCTGGTAATTCATAGCTATCAGCTGTGTTTCAGAAACCCTACACAGGGTCACTATGAGTTGAACCTAACTTGACAATAACAATGCCAAAGAAAGAAATAAAAGAGGGGTACAGCGGGTCAGGCAGTGAAAAAGCCACAAGAAAAGGACCAAGACAGATGGATGGAAGTAGGAATTATTGTCTATTCTATTAAATTCAAATAAAAAATTGAAAATGTTTAGAAACTTCTAATGAAATAGCCAAGTCTCTTTACTTTTTTGAAGCAGAAGCTGAAATTTTTAGGAAAACTCTGGAGATGTTTACTAGGCCTTAAATATTATATATAAGGAGCTCTGGTAGCATAGTTGTTATGATTTGGGCTGCCAACCTCAAGGTCAGCAGTTTGAAATTACCAGCTGTTCCACAGGAGAAAGATGAGGCATTCTGCTCCCATAAGGATTTACAGCCTCGGAAACCATGTGCAGGGTTACTATGAGACAGAACCGACTCCACGGTACTTAACAACAACAACAAATATTATATATGAGAAACATTTTTAAAAGGCTACATTTGTTACAAAGAACAATATGAATTTTTAAGCAGATTATCCAATTCTGAGTTTCCATGTACTTTCAGATGTTTGTTTGCCAGCCACACCAGGACTCCATAGCAGAAGGCCTCTTTTCTATTTCTCCACCTTATTCCTCATTCCCAGTTTACTCTAGGATTGTGTCTTGAACAGCAAGGATGGAAGAAGTTTGAGGAAGTTTGTTGTCGTTGATTCCGACCAATAGCGACCCTGTATAGGGTTTTCGAGGAGTGGCTGGTGGGCTTGAACCCTCAACCTTGTTGTACACACTGACCTTGCAAACCAGCGCATTATCCTATGGCGACAAGCCAGGTAGAGCGCCACACTAGGTAGAGAAAAGGAAAAGCCCACCAACCATTCCCTTCTTCCATTACAAACACTGCTCTCTTCGGTCCATTCTACTTTTCCTGGAATTAAACCCCAACCAGTTTATTGGGTCTGTGACTGTCAGAAAAGTAAAGTGCTCTTCATCAATTCTCGCACTCAAAATCTCAGTGGATAAATGTCTGTGTTCCCTTTTCCTTTATGATATAAATGAAATTAAAGAGCACAAAGAGGACTCTAGCTCACTTTTTGTGTCATTGAAAGTCTAAAGTTGCAGGAACTCTAAGGAGACAAGGTGTGTATTTTCTTGAGTAACTGGATCTGGGAGATTCCTACAGACCCTTTCCTATTATTCAGTTTGCTAAAGCTAACCTCGTCTCCTTGCTTAAACCTGTCCACCATGGCTTACCCTGCTGATAGTTAAAATATTGCTGACATAGCTTCCTGTATCACAGCAACACATAAGACAAAACAATAAGACAAACTGACAGACCAGTAATAAGATGATATGCAGACAACACAACCTTGTTTGCTGGAAGCAAAGAGGATTTGAAATATTTATCCATGAAGATCAAAGACTACAGCCTTCAGTATGGATTGCACCTCAATGTAAAACTAAAATCCTCACAACTGGACCAATAAATACCATCATGACAAATGGAGAAAAGATTGAAGTTGTCAAATACTTCACTTTGTTTTGACCTACAATCAACACTCATGAAAACAGCTAGTGGAGAAATCAGATAACGTACTCTATTAGGCAAATCTGCTGCAAAAGATCTTTTTAAAGTTAAAGAGCAAAGGTGTCAGTGTGATGACTAAGGTGCACCTGACCAAACCATCCTATTTTCAACAGACTCACAAGTATGTGAAAGTGGGACAATGAATACGGGAGACCATAGAAGAATTGATGCATTGAAATTATGGTGTTGGTAAAGAATATTATAAGTACCATGGACTGCCAGAAGAGCAAACAAATCTGTGTTGAGAGAAGTACAGGCAGAATGCTCCTTAGAAGCCAGGATAGTGAGACTTTGTCTCAAGTACTTCGGATATATACGAGAGATCAGACCCTGGAGAATGACATCATGCTTGGTTCAGTGGAGGGTCAGTGAAAAAGAGGAAGACCCCCAATGAAATGGATTGTCAAGGTGGCAGCAACAAGGGGCTCAAACAACAACTGTGAAGATGGCTGAGGACCGGGCAGTGTTTTGTTCTGCTGTGCATAGGGTCACTATGAGTTGGAATTGACTCTACGGAACCTAATAACAAACAAAAAATCTGCTAGGGAATAGCAAAAAACCTTAGTGAAGTACCTAAAATGTGAAAAAGGAGGTATGCAGAGCAAGTTCTTAGTATATTCCAAAGATGATGCTGGAGCTCACTAAACAATAACTTGTAGAGTTTAAACCAGCTGGGCAAATCTTTTTTGTTTTTTGGATAGGCAAGTTAGCCAACACACCTGTAACTGGTGCTCTTGCCTCACTTTTGCAGCTGTAAAAAATCCCACAATCCATAAAGACACAGGCTTCAACTCGGTTAAAGTTTCAAACAGTACAAAACTCAAAATCCACTTATCTCAAAGTATGCTATTATATGGAGCAGAAGATTCTATAACTACCTTGTTCAGTATATTAGCTATAATAAACATGTATACCTATTTTAATTAAAATTAAATATGATCAAAACTCAGTTCCTTAGTCACATTAGCCGATTTCAAGTCACACCTGGCTACCACATTGGACAGCACAGAAACAGGTCCCATCCATCATTGTAGAAAGTTCTAAAGAACCGCACTATTCTAGACAACACAGATTCATTTTGGGTTAAGTCCTGGTGTGGTGCTGTAGGGTAAGCACTGTACTTCCAACTGCAAGGTCGGTAGTTTAAACCCACCAGCTGCTCCTCTGAAATCCTACACAGGGTTGCTATGAGTCAGAACCGACTCCAAGGCAGTTAACAACAACAACAACAACACGAATATGTGAGTTGCCCTGACAACTATTCAATATTATTAATATATCTAAGGGATGATAAGAGTTACAGAAAAGCTAAAATAACTCAAATTGGAGACTGTCTTTAGCCATGCATGCTTTCTACCTGTTGTTGTTTTGTGAAGTGCTGTCAAGCAGGTTCTGGCCCATAGCGACCTTTGACCCATATAGGTTCCGAACCCTAGCTTTCTATCTTGTTGTTGTTAAGTGCCATTGAGTCAGTTCCAACCCATAGCGACCCTGCACAGGGTTTCCGAGGCTGTAAATCTTTACGGGAGCAGAAAACCTCATCTTTCTACCACGGAGGGGTTGGTAGTTTCAAACTGATGGCCTTAAGGTTCACAGCCTGATTCGTAACCACTATGCTACCAGAGCTCCTGGAAATTTTACACTGTCATTATTGGTTTTATGATTAAACAGATAAGAAACCAAAATCAGAATGATTAACTTGTTGTAGGCCACAGTATCTGTAACTGTAGTAGAATATCTAGTTTTCTTGCCTCCCCAGAGTTCAAGAATCTTATCTGCATAGAACCTGGTGTAGGTAGATGGTACCTTGCATGGAGACTGTACTCAGAAAGTTTTTGTTATATCAGTGAATGAATTAATGAATAGGCTGTAAGAAGGTGTGAGCAGAAACAACACAGAAGTCTCTAAGTAGTACAAATGGTTAAAATGCTCTGCTAACCAAAAGTTTGAGTTTGAGGTTCGAGTCCACCCAGAGGTAATCTCAGAAGAAAACCCTAAAGATCTACTTGCAGAATAATGAACCACTGGAGACCTTATGAACTACAGTCCTTCCTATACAGACCCTATATAGGGTTTCCGAGGAGTGGCTGATGAGCTTGAACTGTTGACCTTTCAGTTCAAACTGCATCATACCAGGAGTAAAACCGTGGCCATGGAAGTGCTAAGAGTAACTGGGAATTTTGACTGACAACATTTGATGCTTCTCTTATAGAATTCTCTTGACCACTTGATGCTTATGGCTTTCATTTTCACCACTTCAATTATATAACAATAAAGCCTTCTCTATTCATTCTCCCATACCACCCCACTTAAAGCAAACCAGCCAGACTTGTTTGTAATGCATAGGCCCACTTCCCAGAGACCCATTTGCCCTACCCAGAGTTTCCTTCATAGATTTCAGATTTTCGTAAAGGTGCTGTTTATCCCACCCCTAAAAAAAATAAAGTTGTTCCACTGTCTAAGAAGTTACTCTCCAACTTGAACAAAGACACGAATAAAATGTCATGTTGACGTAAGAGTATGTAAGGGGGAATAAGGAATGATCACATTATAAAATTCTGCACACTGTGCTGTTTGTCTTAATTTTCTCTAAAAGCTAGATTGTGATCAGCCTTGTCTGATGTGTTCTGCCCATCACTACATGAAAAAAAAAAAAAAAAAAAGCCAAAGTACTGCTTAAGCCTTGTTGCTTACTTACAGGAGATTCACTGACTCCAAAGACGTCCCTGACATCTCGGACAGACTGTTTATTCTTTTTTCTCAAGGTCTGAGTGTAGGTGTTATATCTCTTTTTGACTGCAGCTGCCTGGGTACGAGTCAGTGTAGAAAGCAAGGCCTTCCCATCCTCCTCTTCATCACCTGAGATCAGAGTTGATAAACCCACATCTTGCAACCATTCTGCTTCAAGTTCTCCTTCTGTAAAATAAAATTAAGATAAGGTAATTAACACACCTGATATCTTTATATCGATCAGACAGTAAGAAATAATAGTGAGCAGTCTATTAAGACCATCTCTTGGAACAGAAACCTCAGTGAACAAATATACATAACAATGAATACACACTTTGCAAACATAGTTTGGACAAGTCATGGATGAATGACTCCAGTCCTAGAGAAGCAAAAATCAACAGTCTCTGAGAAGTGGGAAGATTAGATTTATGTTTTTAGTTAGCACACTATAGTACTAAGTATGTCCAGTCTCATTCTTTCTCTGTCACTATTTCTCTCTGTCTCTCTATTTGTTGTTATTGCTGGAGTTGATTCTGACTGGTAGCAATACTGTAAAGAATTTCCGAGGAGTGGCTGGGGAGTTTGAACTGCCGACCCTGCGGTTCAAACTGACCTTGAGGTCCAGTGCATTATCCTGCAGTGCCACACCAGGATTCCTAAAGCAATCTTTACATATATTTATATATTGTAAAGCTATTTCCTTAGTGATTACTTTGTGGATTAAAATTATTGCAAATGTTTAACAACTGAGTTTGAATAATACTAACAGTTTCAATAGCAAATTTTATATGTTGCTGTTGTTATTGTTAAGTGCTAACAACTTGGTTCTAACTCATAGTGAAGCTATGTGCAACAGAACAAATCACTGTCTGGTCCTGTGCCATCTTCACAAATGTTATGTTTGAGCCGATTTTGTTGCCATTTGTGTCAATCCATCTTGTTGATGATCTTCCTCTTTTTTGTTGACCACCCACTTTACTCATGATGCTCTTCTCTAGGGACTAATCCCTCTGACAACATGTTGAAAATACAAGAAACTAAGTCTCACCATCATTACTTCTAAGGAGCACTCTGGCTGTACTTCTTCTAACACAGATTTGTTTGTTCTACTAGCAGTCCATGGTACTTTCGATATTCTTTACCAACACCATAATTCAAATGCATTGATTCTTCTACAGTCTTCCTTATTCACTGTCCAACTTTCAAATGCATGTGAGCAACTGAAAACAGAATGGCTTGGGTCAGGCACACGTCAGTTCTCAAACTGACATCTCTGCTTTTAAACACTTTATTTAAAGAGGTCTTTTGCAGCAGAAGTACCTAATGCAATAGCTCATTTGGTTTCTTGGCTATTGCTCCCATGAATGTTGATTGTGGATCCAAACAAAATGAAGTCTGACAATCTCAATCTTTCCTCCACTTACCATGATGGTATCTATTGTTCCAGTTGGTTTGTATTTTTGTTTTCTTTGCATTGAGGGGCAATCCATACTGTAGGTTGTATGTAATGTAGTCTTTGATCTTCATCAGTATTTAAAATTGTTTTTGCTTCCAGTAAGCAGTGTTATATCATCTGCTTATCAAAGGCTGTTCATGAGTATTCCTCCAATCCTGATTCCATGTTCTCCTTCATATAATCCATCTTCTCTGACCATTTGCTCAGCATACAGTTTGAGTAAGTATGATGAAAGGATGTAACTCTGGCACACACCTTTCCTGATTGAAAACCGTTAAGTTGTCTATATACAGTTTCTTCATGAGTACACTTATGTGTTCTGGAATATTCATTCTTTGCAATATTATCCATAGTTTCTATGATCCACACAATGGAAAGTCTATGCACAGTCATACAGCACAAGTAACATCTTTCAGTCAAAATACATCTGGCATCAGCAATGATATTCTTCATTCCATGTCCTCTTCTGAAACTGTCCTGAATTTCTGCCGATGCACTGCTGCAATCAATTTTAAATTATCTTGTGCAAAATTTTACTAATATATGGCATTAATAATATTGCTTGATGATTTTTGCATTCTGTTGGGTCACCTTTCTTTGGAATGGGCACAAATATGGATCTCTTTCAATCAGTTGGCCTTCCAAATCTCTTGGCATAGATGTGTGAGTGTCTCCAGCTGCATCAGTTTGTTGAAACATTTTAATTTGTATTCCGTCAATTCCTGGAGCCTTGTTTACACCATAAATTCTTGATCTTATGCTACCTCCCGGAATTGTTGAATGTCAGTCAATTCTTTTGGGACTGTGGTTGTTAAGCCTGTGTACTATCTCACTCTGTATATTTCTTCCATATTCTTTTGATGCTTCTTGCATCGTTCAATGTTTTGCTCATAGAATCCTTCAATATTGCAACTTGAGGCTTGAATATTTTCTCATTCAGAACTGAATAAAAAATTCATGCCTCGAAACATTATGTGTGCATATATATGTGTATATATATACAAACACACAAAGAAAGGTACGGCAGCTGTTTCACAGGAGAAAGATGAGGCTTTCTGCTCCTATAAAGATTTACAGCCTTGGATATAGGGTCGCTATGAGTCTGAACCGACTCTACGTCACACCACCACCACTATGTGTGTATCTATCTATCTATCTATCTATCTATCTATCTATCTATCTATCTGATTATGCATTGGTGTGCTAACCACAATGTTAGCAATTTGAGTACACCAGATACACCATGGGAGAAAGATGAGACTTTCTGCTCCCACACAGATTTACAGCTTTGGAAACCCTATACAGAGTTGCTATGAGTCATAACTGTCTCAAAGGCACACTACCACCACCACCACTATATAGAGAGCGAAACAAAGAGAATGAGAACTGGACATTCTGAGAACTATAGTGTGTTGACCAAAAATCTCATCTTCCCACTCCTCAGGGATTGCTGACTTTTGCTTGTGAAACCCTGTTCACTCTGTAGGATATTCACCGGACTGCTAACCACAAGGGAGTCAGTTTGAGTCCACAGGAATGAAAAAACCTATACAGGGTAGTTATGAGTCAGAATCCACTCAATGGCACTAAATGACAACAGAAAATCATAAAATATACACAATATACTATAAAAAGTTAAAATTTATTAAAACATACTCACACAGGCACAGACTGTATAGGGTACCATTCATAGTCAGCAAGAAATGAAAAGAAAATGAAGATTCAGTTTTCAATCATAACTACACAAAATTAACTGTAACAGATACTGTAATACTGTAATAATTTCATAGTCACTTCCTAATTCTTTTGCTCTGAGCTCAACTGTTGAGGGTATACAAGCATTATGTGACACTAACCATCTCAAATGAGCAGTTTGTCTTTCCAATAAATGGTGTATCATAGTAAAAAGTGATCTCTTGTGGGTTTTGTGTATTTTTCATTGTACTTACTACAGTTCTAGTTCTGAATACATTAATATCATGGGACTCATACAAAGTGCCACTAGTAATGTTAAAAGTGTACCCAAGAAACAGAAAAGTCATGACATTTTAAGAAAAAGTTAAATTGCTTGATTTTAACTCAGATTGAGGTATGCAGAATTGCCCACCATTTTAAGATAAATGAATCCAGTAAAAAGGGCCATGAAAAACAACAACAACAAAAAAAAATCTAAGGAAACTTGTGAAGCTATTGCTGCACTATGCCAGCAGGTGCAAAAACCTTGCACTTATTGTGAAATATCTTTCTATCTTGTATTTAAAATGTAATTTTTATGTGGGCACTGGGTTTCTATAAGAAAGGAATATATACAGAATCTAATATAATTTGAGAAAAAGTAATGTCACAATTCAATAACTTAAAGTAAAAGGAAGGTGAAGGATCTAAAGTTGTAGAACTCAAAGCCAATAAAGGATGATTTAATAATTTTTAAAATGTGTTGTTGTTGTTGTTAAGTGCCGTCGAGTCGGTTCCGACCCATAGCGACCCTGTACATGGTTTCCAAGGGTGTAAATCTTTACGGGAGTAGAAAGCCTCATCTTTCTCCCGCGGAGCGGCTGGTAGTTTCGAACCGCTGACCTTAAGGTTCGCAGCCCAATTCGTAACCACTACGCTACCAGAGGTGTTAGGCTTTAAAAAAGTCAACATAACAAGAGAAGCAGCTTCTGCTGATCAACAGGCAGCAGATGATTCCCAGACACCATTAAGAAAAACATTGAGGAGAAAGGATAAATACTTGAGCAGGTTTTTAATGCAGCTGAAAAGTCTGAACAGTATGGTTCCTCCTCAAAAAATTATAAATTAAAGTACCATTTGATACAGCAACTTCACTACTAGAACATCCTAAAGAACTGGGGCACAGACAGCTATATGCACTACCGTGCTCACTGCAGGAATATTCCCAAGAGCAAAGAGATTGAAACAGCCTAAGTGCCAATTAATGGATAAATTGATAAACAAACTATGGTACAAAAACACACAATGGAATAAAGACTATGCAAAGTTAAGTAATAAATCCATGAAACACTTTATAACATGGATGAACATTATGCTGAGTGAAATAAGTAAATTATAAAAGAACAAATATTGTATATATTCACTATTATAAAAAGATTGTTACCAAGGATAGGAAGGGAGGAGAGGGAAATCATTAACTAGAAAATAGGCACATATAAATTCTGGTGACAGAAAAGACAACACACAGTAAAGGGTGACCAACAAGGAGCTCTGGTAGTGTAGTGTAGTGGTTATGAATCGGGTGGCGAACCTCAGGGACTGCAATTTGGAGCTACCAGCTGTTCTGTGGAATAAAGATGAAGCTTTTTGCTCCCGTAAAGATTTACAGCCTCAGAAACCCTGCACAGAGTTGCTATGAGTCGGAACTGACTCCATTACACATAACAACAACAATACCATATCGAGACTCTTGGTGTGGTGCTGTAGGATCAGCACTGGACTGTGAACCATAAGGTTGGCAGTTCAAACCTACCAGCTATATAGGAAACCCTATACAGGTTCACTATTAAGTCGGAAGCAACTCAACAACACTTAACAACAACAAACACAACACACTATCACTAAAGAAAAGGAAAACTCAGAGAGGTGCACAAGAATTACAGACAAAAAGTGTAAATACCATTACATTCACAATCATCAGAAATAACAAAAAATAATCTATAAGTGGATACATTTGCAAGATGAACAAGTATGAGTAGTCGGAACAGACTACACT